CTCTCTTCCCTGCTGCTCCCCACCCCACACCCCAGCGATCATGCTGACACAACTAAACATTTACCGGACATGATTGTGCAATACTTTCTTTTGATCGAATAAAATGAGAATAAACAGGCTGACTCGCCTCGCCCACACAGTTCGCCTCTTCGCGCCGGTAGTGGTCAGAATCCTTAGGCAAACCCGGGCAACCCTCCCGAACCAGCGCTTCTGATGTGGAGTGGACAGTGGACGAGGCGAATCTCGCCCTAGTGTGTCGAGCCTCTACCCGCCCAGCCACTAGCGCCGAAACGATCGCGGGAATCGCCCGTCTGGTCAGGACGCTTTTGTTCTACCCACTACTCTCTGCCATAACACCGCAGCCTGATACACACACCATTGTGTAGTGAATCGGGCACATTCACCCTCCCCTGCTCGATGTTATTTTTACCATATCAGGTTGCCCGACCAACCTGCTGCAGCGGTTGCCGTAGGCCTGCCGTTCCGGCCGGCTTTGTCACTCACCGATGACCACTCGCTCCGGTACACCCCCTCACCCTCCCTCCAGTGCGACGCGTGGGCCATTGCACAGTGCTGCACACGTGCTGTTTAATTTGTCCGCGGCGGGCGTGCTGTATCCGGATCTCCTTCGCCACCGCCGGGACGAGGCGGGACGACAGAGAGGACTTCCCGGTGCTGCTCATCAATTATTCATGTCCATAACAGGCTGAGCGCGGCCGGGGGGGGGCTAGCCTCCGGGAAATGAGGCGCAGCGAAGGGCCCGCGGAGCAGCAGAGCCCCAATCCTTTGCTGCCGAAATGAGAATCAATGACTTGATCGATGAACGCTAGAGCCGAGGCCTAGCCTGCGCACGCCTACGCCTGGACGTGATCATGGCGGCCGGATCCCCGGTCTCACCCCCTCCGCGCCCCCTCTCGCGGCACACCCCGGGGCCTGATGCCTCACCCACCGCACCGGCCTGCAAAGGCAGAGAGTCCTTATCGACGGATACGTGCCTCGCGGTCGTGAGCTCGAATGCCCGCGCTAACCTTTTGCGGCGTGGGGCGGGTCTGCGGGCTGGCTGCGCGGGTGCCCTGGCGCACCGGTAGTGCCGCGCCCTCTAGGACCGACGGGAGCCCCGGGTACAGGGGGTAGGAGGGGGTGCAGATTGGCGGGGAGTCGATCTCATTCCGGGACCAAAGCCCATTACGAGCCCAACGCTCGGGGGCCGGGCCGACTACGGGCCGAGCTTTGGCGTTGCATTGTCAATATCGATCAACCTGTATTCACAAAAAGGTGGTTGGTGTAGGTCTCCTCCTAGGGAAGTCTTCGAGAGCCACATGCAGCGATAGCCATAGTTTGTCGAGCCCCGGCTCAACCCGAACTCCTATAACGAGGGTCGCCCCCCACCGCCGCCCTCAGATTCACTCCCTTACCGATCATCAGCATCAGGATTAGGATAACGGCCCCTGATGAACCTCCGCCTTCCTGTCGGCCGGCAGCCTGATAAACAGGCTATCGCCGCCCCGCTGCCCGCGCTGATTGTCGGGCACGGTCTAGGTCGCAGCTCGAGCGAGCGCGCGCGACACACGCGCACGACACGAGTGCACGACCAGCACGACACGTGCACGCAGTTTGTCACCCTGATCGCTGATGCGTTATGCAGCGCCCCCGCGACCACGGACGCCCCTGCGTTATTCCATCCAAACCCCGCCCTGCCCCGCCTCGCTCGACCCCACCCCGCAGGCCCGCAGGCCGCACCGTACGCGGAATGGCGCCGGTAGATAGCGCACGCCTCGCAGCCGCGCCGCACCCCGCTCCCCACCTCTGCTGGCTGCCAACCTTTTTTCGTACTGTGTGCCCTCGTACCAATATGTAGTAATTCCCGGGAGCACACTGGAAAAACTAATGAGACATGAGTCACATTACAAGTGTGACGTCCTCAGCATGTCGCATGTGTGGTGTGACCGTATTTTTAGTCACGTTTGTTGTGTGACATCCTATGTTTTCTGCCTGCACCTTCTTGGATGATGTTGCATCAATTGGTGTGACCAAAATTCAGACCACATTACGTGGTGTGACCAAAACCGGCCACACCAATTGGTGTGACACATGCCACAAAGATTTTTCCAGTGCAGCTGAGAAGCAATGAGAGTATTGTGGCCGTTATTGTATGTTTCAACTCCAACATGAAAAAGGGGTTGGTTTGCTAGGTAGTTCAAGTATATTTCAAACTATCCATGACTTGGACGTGCACGTTGGGTCGTTTGGTTCAAATCCGACGGGAGCCATGCGCAAGCCAAGCTAAAACATGCTCATATTGTCATTGCGGAACACCGTAGCCATTGCGTGGGAGAAGCACCGTCCTAGCCGAGGTCTGCCGGGCGCACCACGCGTGACGAACGGCACCCCTCTGGAGAGGCGGGCGCCCTTCTCTCGAGGCGGGAAGGGAATCTACCGCAGCTTGACCTGCTTGCGCCCTGCCCCGCCGCGCCCCGCCGCGCCCCGCCGCGCCCCGCCGCGCCCCACCGGGCCAGGCTCTGGAGCTGAGCGCTGTGCCAGGGGTTCGGCTCTGCGTGCCCGGCGCGTTCGTTCCCCCTGGAGGAGGCGGGCCCGGGCCCCGGGCCGCCGGCCGGCTCACGGGCCTGACCCATCGGACGAGGCTCTCAGTGCCGCGCCCCCGAGATTAGACGAGGGAATTGTACGCCCCCCACCTCCCTCTCCCCCCCTTTCCCCTCTAAATGTTACCCCGTAGTCTTACGGCGCCGGCCGATTTGCATATTTATCCTAACGAAGCCGCACTGCCGCCTGTTGACCCGGGAGTAATAATTAGCGCCCCGCACCCCGCCCCTTATTCCCCCTCCGTCCTCCGTCCAGGACCGCCACCCGCCACCCCGCGGCCCGCAGAGCGCCGCCCGGACAGGACGTCCGGGGCCGCCGGTGCTCTGCAATGCGCTGACCCCCTCCCCCGGCCGGAATGGGGTCTGGATGAAATGTTTGCAGGGCGATTTCCTTAACCAGCAGATTATTGTCCATTAACCCCCGGTGGCCCATGGTGGCCCGTGGCCCGCGCGCGCCCCGGCCCTATCGTGACGGCTGAACGGAATGAGAGGGAGGATGAGAGGCAGGGCGCTCGCCCTCGCCGCAGGATCCGGCACCTAGCCATCCCTCTTCCCCCACCCACTCATTGTCGGGTCGGACCCTCGTTTACCCGAAGAGAAAGGAACGGTGCGCTACCTCGCTAGACCGGCCCCGCTACGCCGAGCCCGTGCGGCTGAAAGATTCCACCCGTTTTGCGTCAGGCTCAATATTGTCATAGACTTAATTTTTTTGTGCTACATACAAGAGTTTCTCTTTCTTTGTGTAATGCTATGCTGACGTCGCCTGCATCTGTCCCGCCAGTCCCAGCCCGCGCCGCTGAGCAGACGACAACATGACGAAGAAGTTCGAGTTCGACTGGCAGATCCCTGTCCCGCAGCCGCTGCTCGACGGCTGCGTGTTCGACCGATGGACGGACGAGGGGGGCATCGAGCCGGCGTGCCTCTTCAAGTGCGACGAGTTCGGCTTCTTCATCTACTGGAAGAGCGACGGCAAGGTGAAGTAACTGCTTGGAAATAAGGGGGAGGGGGGGGGGATCGCATCCGCTTGGCCGTTCTCGGGTCGCACCGAGGTCTCTCTTTTTCTAAATGCTTCGACCGACGTGAGTGATGTGATGCTGTTGCTTCTCCCTCCAGGAAGGCGATGTGATCGAGCTGTGCCAAGTGAGCGACATCCGTGCAGGCGGACTCCCAAAGGTAGGCCAATAACCTCGCGCCGCCTGTCGCACGACGACCCGGCTGGACCACATAACAACGATCCCTCTGACTGCTGTCGCTATTCGCAGGAAGTGAAACTGCTGGAGAAGCTTCAGTCCAAGCATGGCAACGACCTGGAGGACAAATCGCTCACCATCTGCAGTGGTACCGACTACATCAATATCAACTACCAGCACGTGGTTTGTCCCAATGCCGAAACCGCCAAGGTGAGCACATAGCACGCGGCACCAGCATCCGACAACCCGCAGTGTTTTATTTCGTACTCCTCCCCATCCGCCCCCCCCCCCCCCCCCCCCCCCCCCCCCCCCCCCGTTCGCTCAGTTGAAAAAGTCGGTTTTCCCGGCCGGATAGGCTGTAAGGGAAAAGTTGGGGTGGGGAGGGATTTCTGCTCGAGTGGTTCCCGTTTTGTTCTCTCGGCTCATTCACGCCATCGTCAGTGCACGGGGGCGGTTCGCAGCCATCTTGCCAGCCATCGACCGTTGTTGGTGGAGTAGGAGCAGAGCCGGGAGTCGGCGCGGGGCGGGTCGCGGTCGCTCGAGCCGGCCGGGGAGGCGATAGTTTGCAGGTGCACTGAGTGGCTTCCTCCTCACCGCGGAGGTGCTAAGAACCTTCATGGGGTCGTTGGAGCAGGAGGAGTGGTGGGGAGGGTCGGGACAGAGTGGGGGCGTGGCAGCGCCCGAGCACGCGGCCGGTCTCGTGCGGCTGCGGCTCGCCCGCCGGCGGAGCGGGTGGAGCGCCGGTAGGTAGGCAGGCCCGTCGAGCAGCGGTGCAGCCACGTGGCCTACCTCCCAGGCGCTCCGCGGCACACTGCGTCACGGCCACTACTTCATGATGCCGTGGACAAAAATGACCTAAAAAATTTGGCATTCTGAGAGTTTGCGCCCAAGGCCTACACATCCGAGAAAGTATAGCAGGCGGTGGGAAAAGTTCCATTGCTCCACATTAAAGAGGATCAGCAGTAGCCAGTAAAATCAACAGACTGATCTCGTAACTGAAACGTGGCTCTAATTTCAAACCCCCAATCGCCATCTCCCGCCCACAGGCATAGGAACGCATAGGAACCTTACCACGACCCGCAACCCGCATCCCGTGGAGAGATGGGCGCGCCTAAGACTGGGCTTTGTTACTATTTTTGATTCCTATTAGCAAATATGAATTTCTGGCGTTTTGGACAAAATTTCACTTTGTTTTATTTGCGTTCCCACAAGTTTTGTACTTGTCTATTTACAGGAATGGGTTGACGGTCTACGTGCAATCACTCACAACATTAAAGCTAGTAACGTGTGCCCAATGACATGTTTAAAAAAGCAGTAAGTCTTATCAGAACAAAAGATTTTGAGGAACGCTGGTTAAAAGGCTGTTTTTAGTTTGGCCAAAAGAACACCGCAAAATGATAGACTTAGCACTAGAAATGTGAACTAGGTTCGTCGTGTATTTTATTTTAAGCTTTGTTTGCTTCTTCTTCTTCAAACTTTTCATTTACAATATAATTGTTTGTATGTTCAATTTGCGAAATATTTTTGTATAATTTATTGTAGGGTGCATTTATCTTCAATGCGTTAGGCAATGTGTTACTTTACTACGTGTGTTACTTTACTACGTGAAGCTGTAGATATTGTTTAAGAGGCTCCAATAGCAAGGCGCTCTTATCTCTTTTGCATGTCGCATGTTCGTTTAGAACAACACAACAGCAACCCAACCCGACAAGACGTCTTTAACATATGTGGCACCAGATTATTTTTTTCGTTAATGAACCGAAACTTCTTCTAACGGTGATACTCAATTTTTTTCATGAATTCTACTGAGAACCAAAACTGATGGTACCTCTTGAAAGTGATTAAAAATCCATGGAAGTTCTAGAAAGTTACCTCATCAAATGGCTGTAGGACATGTTTGTGCTCTAAGTTTAAGCACCGCTTGCATTGTGCGTCAATGATTTTCATGACACTTTGTTTTTTCTGTCTGTCTCATTCTTTCTCTCTCTATCTTTCTCTGCTCTCTCACTTTTTATTTTTCTTCCTCTCTCGCCTTGCTCTGGCGCACGCTGCATGTGTAGACGTGGCAGGCGGGCCTGCGGAAGATCACCCATAACAACAAGATCAACAACATTTGCCCTCGGACCAGTCTCATGAAGCAGTGAGTTTATTTTGTTCGTCCCACGCGTGTCATAATGATAAAGACAACCAGCAATTTCGGGCCGGACACGCATTCCCGCTTGTCTGAGCAGCTGCCAAGCGTCCGGCCCGCGGGCCGATAGGTTCGCCACAATCAACGGATATGATTCCGATTGACTGTTAGATACTAGTATTATGATATCGTCAACTAAACAATAATGGTTGAGAATCGACGCGGAAGCCGTTTGGATTTCTAAAATATGCTTTTTGAAGCAGGACAAAAAATACCACATTTTATTAAATGAAAAAGAAAGTACTGGAGTAAACAAGTGTTTTCATTTCTGCTTTTCTAATTTTTTTTTTTTATTTTTACACTCTCAGCTGGATGCGACTCAAAATGCTGACAGACGCAAAAGGCTTGGTTCCCGTCAAGGTGATCGCGAGAACATTCGCGTCAGGCAAAACAGAGAAACTAGTGTATCAATGCCTAAGCGATCTGGAATTGCCGAGCGGGAAGGTAAAGTCGACGATTCCACTACCCTAGAATTATAAAGTGATTTCTTCACATGTTCCTTTCCTTATATTTGCGACTACTTTATATTTGCTTTAGGGTGATTCCATAGAACCGGAGGCGTTCACATTCGACAAGTTTTATACACTCTATCACAAGATCTGTCCTCGAAATGACATCGAGGAGCTGTTCCAGTCGATGTAAGAAACAAAATTCAACAACCATTGTGACATGTACTTGCCAAACATGCTGCACAGTCTGTCTGACACTCTTGCGTGATCACTGATTTCAGTAACCAAGGCAAGAGCGACACCATCAGCACGGCACAATTCGTCGATTTCCTGAACGAAAAGCAACGAGATCCGCGGCTCAACGAAATCTTGTATCCATTGTACGACGAGAAGAGAGCCACCGAAATCATCGACACCTACGAGCAGAGCGAGGAGATCCGTAAAGAACGTAAGTCACCCGACAGTGTCATGATCTGATCACTACTTGTGTGATGATTGTGCCAGTCCCCCTAATGGACATTCCCAGGGAGCGCCGAGGAGACGTTTCCCGACGCAGCGCTACTCTGGCGAGGGGAAAGGACAGAACGTTTGGCCACCAGGAACCTTTGACTTCAGTTAACGAGAACGTCACGCGAGGCAATGAAAGCGCCTGCCACGCGCTGGGTAGGCCAACCCGTCAAGCAGCGGTGTGAAGGCGGTGGCCCGCCCTGGGCGCTCGAGTGCGGGAGCGTCTGTCGCCCACCCTTCCTTACCTCGCCGAACTGGGGAGGGGTATTGGGGTAGCACCATCACGTCACTTCTGTTGTTATTGTTGCTTTTTTTTGTCTTCAGGAAAACTTTCCAAGGACGGACTTATCAGGTACCTCATGTCGGACGAAAATGCCCCGGTGTTCCTGGACCGCTTGGACATTTACATGGACATGGACCAACCCCTGGCGCACTACTACATAAACTCTTCTCACAACACTTATCTGTCCGGTCGTCAGTTTGGAGGAAAGTCTTCCGTGGAGATGTACAGGCAGACTCTGCTAGCTGGCTGCAGGCATGTTCGGCGAATAAATGTACTTTTCCTTTTATCAAGTATTTTCACAAAACATAAATAACTGACCGTGTGGCTTGATTGTCAGGTGCGTGGAGCTGGACTGCTGGGATGGGAAAGGCGAGGACGAGGAGCCCATCATCACGCACGGCAAAGCCATGTGCACCGACATCTTGTTCAAGGACGTCATCTACGCCATCCGCGACACGGCATTTGTTACATCTGACTACCCTGTCATCCTGTCTTTCGAGAACCATTGCTGCAAGGGACAACAGTTCAAACTAGCCAAGTACTGCGACGAGATCTTCGGAGACTTGCTGCTGAGCGAGGCTTTGCCCGATTACCCGGTACGCTAAAAGAAGAAAATTTAAAGTAGTATTAATTGCCTTATCTATAGTGTCAACCTTTTCAACATGTCCCATACGGTTGTTGTGCAGCTGGAGCCCGGCGCGCCACTGCCGCCGCCAAGCGCCCTCAAGCGCAAGATCATGATCAAGAACAAGCGGCTCAAGAAGGAAGTGGAGGTCCGCGAGCTGGAGCTGTTCAAGCAGGGCCAGCTCGTCATCGAGGACGAGGAGAAGGAAGACGCGTCTGCCCCCGCCGCGGCGCCCCCAGAGGAGAAGAAGGAGGAGGAGGGCGCCCCCGACGCGCCGCCGCCCGTGCAGCACACGGGCTCAACCACCAACGTGCACCCGTGGCTGTCCTCCATGATCAACTACGCGCAGCCAGTCAAATTTTCCGGTTTTGACGTGGCAGATGGTAGGTTTCGTCTCGCGCACTTTGGTATACTTGCAGAGCAACTACCCTTGGGTCGGTGCACGAACTGTTCTGCAAAACAGGGGGTAATTCCGGCGTCTCATTTCAGAGAAAAACATCCACCACAACATGTCCTCTTTCGCGGAGACGGCCGGCCTGGGCTACCTCAAGTCGCAGGCGATCGAGTTCGTCAACTACAACAAGCGGCAGATGAGCCGCATCTACCCGCGCGGCACGCGCGCCGACTCGTCCAACTACATGCCGCAGGTGTTCTGGAACGCGGGCTGCCAGATGGTGTCGCTTAACTTCCAGACGTCCGACCTGCCAATGCAGCTCAACCAGGGCAAGTTCGAGTACAACGGCAACTGCGGCTACCTGCTCAAGCCCGACTTCATGCGGCGGGCTGACCGAAGCTTCGACCCGTTCGCCGAGTCCCCGGTGGACGGCGTGATCGCCGCCCAGTGCGCCGTGCAGGTACGCAGCCCAAGCAAGAGCGCCGCGTTAGGTGCCCTTCCGTCCACTCGACCCGTTTGACTCTGAACCTTACTTGTCGCAGGTGATAGCTGGACAGTTCTTGTCCGACAAGAAGGTGGGAACCTACGTCGAGGTGGACATGTACGGCTTGCCAACCGACACGATCCGCAAGGAATTCCGCACCCGGATGGTCCCTGCGAACGGCCTCAACCCTGTCTATAACGAGGAGCCGTTCCTGTTCAGAAAGGTGAGGGCCGTGTACAGTTTTATATGATCGAATTGGAGGGTCGGGGCTTGCATCACCCTCACCTGCGCCTCCCACAGGTCGTGCTGCCAGACCTGGCCGTGCTGCGCCTGGGGGTGTTCGACGAGACGGGCAAGCTGCTCGGCCAGCGCATCCTGCCCCTGGACGGCCTGCAGGCCGGCTACCGCCACATCTCGCTCCGGACAGAGGCCAACTTCCCCATGTCGCTGCCCATGTTGTTCTGCAACGTCGAGCTCAAGATCTACGTCCCCGACGGCATGGAAGGTGAGGTGGCTGCTTGTGTGGGTGGCTGAGCTGTGCAGAATCGCCCCCCCGCTGACCGGCTGCGTCAGGCGTGGGCGCAGCGCCGCAGCGGCTGGTTCGGGGGCTGTGCGTTGCACGCGCAGGCCGCGGGCCGCCTCTGTCAGCGATGTCCGAGGCGGCCTGCTCTGCCATGCCAGGTGCGCAGCGTGCACAGCTGAGCTGGACGCAAGGCGTGGCGCGGCGCTCGAGATCGGTCTCCAGTGGCCGCCCCGCCTCTGCTGGCGGTAGCGCGGTTTCCACTGACCGATGCCGATCGGTCAGTGTAGTCCGTGGCCGACTGGAGCGTGGGCGGTCGGCTAGCTTTGGCCACAGATCGCGCGACGTTTCTGGGTGGAACTGGGCTTTTCTTTGATTGGATTGGGTGCATCAGAGCGGACGCTCCAGGCGCTATGGCCGCTTCGATCCACGAGGGTATGCAATCCCGCAACACTGCAGCGTCCGCTTTGTTACACCCGGTAAGTATTACCCGGATCTTAACCGTTTCATCGCGCAGATTTCATGGCGGCTCTGTCGGATCCGCGGGCGTTCCTCTCGGCGCAGGAGAAGCGCACGGCGCAAATGGAAGCCATGGGCATCGAGGCCACGGCCATCGACACGAAGGATCTGGTGCTGAGTTCCGGGCCGAAGAAAGGCTCCAAGTCCGGCCCGAAGGGAGGGGGTGCGGGCGGCGCGGGCAAGGCCGAAGAAAAGAAGGAGGGTAAGTACGAAGAGGAAGGGGTATCTTTCTTGCTTGTGGGTGTCGTAACTTTTACGCTCTAATTTCTATCACAGAGGACCTAAAGCTGGAGCCGCTCACTGTGGAGACCTTGCGCAACGAGAAGGGCTTCCAAAAGACGGCTCGTAAGCAACAGAAGGAACTGGACACGCTGCACAAGAAGCACCAGAAGGAACGCCTTACTGTACAAAAAGCTCAGTGTGCTGCTATCGAAAAGCTCGTGAAGGGGAAAAAGTGCGTCTCTAATTCAGTTAGCCAATGAGAGTTAAGCATGTACAGTCTAAATTTGTTATTGATATTTTCTCTTCTAATTTTCACTTTTTTTAGTAAGGCGGAGGTCGCCTCCGACCCGGCCATTCGAAAGCTGGTCCAGGAGCAGACGGCTCAGTGGTCTGAGATGGTGGAGCGGCATCGTAAGGAGGAATGGAAGTCTATGAAACAGCACGTGACTGACCAGGAGGAGATTCTTAAGCAGCTGCTGACCACGACGCAGGCCTCGCAACTCCGCCAGCTTGAAGCCAAACATGAGAGGTGAGCAAAATACCATGAAACGAGGAGAGAGGAGAGAGGTACCACCCCTGATCTTCTATTTTGACCTACTTAACTCCACATTTGAATCTTTTGAATCCTCAAAATGTACAAAAGTTTTGATCCTCTCCTTGGCAGAGATTTGAAGGAGATGAACACCAGGCAGGCAAAGATCTCTGTGGAGACTATGAAGGAAGTGGCCAATGATAAGACCCTCAAGACAAAAGGAGACAAAGATCGTCGTCTCCGGGAGAAGAAGCAAAACAATACCAAAAAGTTCATGGAGGAGCGCAAGATGGCACAGATGAAGCAGGGGAAAGACAAAGAAAAGCTCAAGAAGAAACATGAGAAGGAAACCGAAGAACTCTCAAAAGACGTCCAAAGTGTAAGTACTTCTGTGATCCGCTTATATTACTGCATTTTAGCTATCAGCTAATGTAAGCTCATCAAACCCTAATTTGTTGATCTTTTCTATTAACAGCTCATCAAAATGTACACTAATGAAGAAATAGAATATGATCTTGGATCCAAGTCAGAATTCTATGTGTAAACAATATAGAAGCCGACAGATCTCCTGAGAGCTTCTTTTTGATTCTGCGCCTAATTCCACTATGGGCCTAATTGCTTTGACTAGTAGTGACAATTTATTTCTCAAACCATTTGAAAACTTTTGTCTCAGTTTTTAAAATCCAGATGCAACAAAATACAACTAAACGAGATTTGTTTATACATAAAAGTATTGTCAGTTTGCTCTTGTTCTACTTTGAGGCTTATTTTGAAAGGTCAACTGAGCATATCAGTACCAAAAAGCGTTCAGTGGGGATCTAAGAATTTGTAAGATACCCCTCTTATGTCATTATGAATAATTTATGATAATCCTTGTAGGTTTGTCTACTTTGTTTCTTTCATGCACTCTGTTTACTGTACAATGCCTGATAAGTCAGTCCCTGGAGGTGTGCACTTAAAATTTCTTTGGCGAATATATACGAATTATGGTGATATTTTAATATTTCTCTCATGTTGTGATATTAAATATTAAGCGTCCGAACTTCAATTCTATTTTGAAGTCAGGTGATCTTCAGAGATTACCATTTGTGCGTTAGTATTTTTAAGAAAATTGTTGGTTGAACTTTCTTTATACTCCAAATTTTAAATCACCATCCACCTTAGTAGCATTGTAGATAATTTATATGACAAATTGGTCCAAATTTAGTTTACTAGGTAGATAGAATATTGTCGGTGTCACAACACAAAATTGCTATTCATACAACATTCTAGTGATGATTGATGCATAGAGGCTCAGTGACCGTCATATTTGAAATCCTTATTTGCCAAACTTGGCTTAATCAAAGAAAATTCAACCCAATTATTTTCACATTTGTTGCTTAAATCCTCTGTCTGATTGCTGGCAGTCCAAAATTTTCTCAGTATTCAATTCCTTGATGACTGAAATAACTTGGTTTGGGGCGCAGCTTTCTATTCTTGTAAAATTTTATTTTTGATTCAACTTGGGTTGTCAATTTATAACTGTCACCTGTCAAGGCTAAACATACTGTAATTCGTCCAAGTTATGTCCAAATATTACATTATGATTTCTGATAATAATCTCTTTGGAACAAATTTTGGTTTGGTTTGAGTATATATCTTGCAATGATGGCAGTTGAATATGTTTTAAGCCATAGCCGACTTTATCTTGCACTGAAATTTGATGAAGCATCTTTAGTTTGCGCAAAAAGCTTGCTGTGGTTCAAACTAAATTTAAATTTATCAAAGTAGAGCATAACATAAGAAAGTTTATCTGTTTACATAATAATTGTGAGCATTTACATTAGAATCTTACTTTTAAACTACCTTTACTTTATTGATTTCTCCTCCTTATAAATTGTTATTGAATTTTTTGCAGAAGGGTCCAATAATAACACTTCTATCTGTGTTGCCAAATACCATATATTAGGGGATGCTTACCTTTTTGTATTGTTAGCTTGACAACATGAATTTGTTTTCAGGTTTGTGTCCCCCTGTTGGTTTATAACTATTCATTCAGATAAATATGTGCCAAATCCTGTGAAGGAAACTGGTACTTAAACTAGCTGTTGTTACGTTAGAATTCCATTATGACTACCTAACTGTATGTCCTAGTTTTCTATTTGTTTTATCTAATGAAGTAATATTCGTAGGCATATCTCCAAATGTATTAAATTTATTCA